GCGGGAAGCAAGTACACGATCGTCTTCTTCAAGTTATCGTAGACCAGGCGACCGTACTGAACAGCCTCAATGATGGCGGCGAACGAATCGAGAAGAACCATATCGGCAGCTTCAATGGCAATATCGGAACCACTGCCCATAGCGATACCAATGTCGGCAGCCTTGAGCGATGGCGCATCGTTGACACCGTCACCTGTCATACCGACAATGTTGTCGTGGGCCTGGAACTCCTTAACGATACGAAGCTTCTGCTCAGGCGTCGTCCTAGCGAACACAATCTCCTGGTATTGGCAGAGTTGATCCCATTGCGCCGCGTTCAATGTGATGAGTTCGGGCCCACTTAGCACGATTGACTGCTTCGTAGTCCCGATCTTGCCTTCGCGGCCGAGAGCGCTGATGTCGTCGACCAAAGCGGAGTTCGAGATGATGCCACACTCTTCAGCGATGGCCTGAGCCGTGAGCTTGAAGTCGCCAGTGACCATGAAGATACGGATCGAAGCTCCTCGAAGAATACGAACGACGTCTGGAATCTCATCACGGGGTGGGTCCACAATGCCTACGATGCCAATAAACGTAAGACCTTCCCGGGCTGCGACCAATACTTCCTTCTCATGGTTGGCGGAGAAGGGTACGATAGTCGGCTTGCGAGCGAGCAGTATGACGCGCTTTCCCTGGCGAGACCAGCTGTCTTTGACGGTGTCGATACGAAGGCGTTGTGCGTCTGTAAGCAGTATCTCTTCGCCCTTCTCGTTCAGGATGAGGTCGCATCGAGGCAGGAGGATATCGGGAGCTCCCTTGATCATGAGAGTAGCGTTGTTGCTCGTCGGAGTCTGGTTTGCGGGTGTCATCAAGCGGACCATGAACTTATTTTTGCTGTTGAAAGCAATTTCGAAAACCTTCTTCCAGTCGCGACGCAACTCAGCGACTGACCCAAGAGACTCGGACAGTCGAAGTATAGCCTGATCAGTTGCATCGCCGTTGATCTTGCGCTCCGCAATGGGAAGATGCATAGTAGCGGCATCGAATTCACCGGAATTACAGAGACCACCGAGCATGCGGACTTGATCCATGATGTTTGTCTTGGCCTTGGAAAGCACAGAGAGATTCTGTTCCGAACGAAAGACTGCCATCATATCACGCGCCGCATCCGTAGTGTACTCTTCACCCGCTGCATAAATGTCCGTGACGACCATTTTGTTCTTCGTCAACGTTCCGGTCTTGTCGGAACAGATCACCGAAACGGAACCAAGTGTCTCAACGGTCTTGAGGGACTTGCAAAGTATCTTGTTCTTGCGCATGATGTTCGCGACGATGGTCAAGCTCGTGGTAAGTGCGATCGGTAAGCCTTCGGGGATGACTAGAGAAAGAAGGAAAAGTTAGCATCTGTACATGGAAAAAGACATTGTTGGGTAGTCCATACATGCAACAGCGCACGAGACGCAACTGACGATAAGAAGGGGTACGTCAATCCAAGTAGGATGAGATTTCCTCAGCCATGCAGCCCTGAGATGCGTAAGTACAAATCCTTCAACTCATAGATAGCCAAGCATAGACATGTTGCTCTAGACCAGCCACAAACATACCAAAGAACCACGATGAGAACAACGACGCATGTGATGAAGAGTGAGATGATGAGCACAAAGCGTAGAATCTCCTTCTGAAGAGGAGTCATGCCAGTCTTGGGATCCGAGGTAAGCTTTGCGATACGACCGAAGATAGTGTTGTCGCCAGTTGCAACGCACACGCCGAGACATGCGCCTGAGATGCAATGGGTGCCTTGTAATCCGATGTTGTTGGTCTCGAGATAATTGTCTTCGGTTGCTTCGATGGTAGCTGCGACGGGCTCAGACTCGCCTGGCATATGTTAGTCCTCGTGCTCAAGTGATGTGTGTAGGTTTTACGTACCAGTAAGGATTGCGCGATCGAACATGGAATCGCTGGATATATCGACGAATCGAACATCGGCGGGTAGCTTGTTGCCCTGCTTGATAACGATAATGTCGCCAGGCACTAGATCCAAGGCCGAGATGCTAACGTGCGATCCGTTGCGTACGACAATGCATTGATCAGGCAGCATCGTTCCAATGGATGCCATCACTCTGCTGGTTGACCAGTCCTGCCATGCATTGAAGGCAGCCTGGATGAGCCAAACAGCGATCAGTACACAGGCAAGCGCCAGGTTTGCGACCGCTGGCGGTTTACCGAGAGGCTTCCATGCGACGAATACCAGTATACCAGCAACCACAAGAATGCTACCAAAACCACCAAAGAAGTAGCCTATTATCTTCTTGAGGAGCCCTGATGGGGGAGGTGTCATCTTGTTCTGGCCGTGTTCGCTAATGCGACGCTGGGCCTGATCGTCAGAAAGGCCCTGGTCGATGTCGACGGAGAGGCGGCGACACAGCTCATGAACGGCAAGTGTATGCCATTCGAGGTCTGCCAGATCTGTAGAGCTGAAGTCAGTAGACGTGGCTGTGATTTACAGCCAACAGACTCACCAACAGCGGCTTTCTCCTTCGCTCTCTTCACCTCATCCTGCTTCTTGTGTTGATCCTCGTCGATCTCGATGGACAGAGTACGATCTGAATGTTCGTATCAGGAGTCAGTGGATGTCTCACAAGCAAGTCATAGAGACAGCTACTCACAGGTGATGGGGAGTGCAGTCTCTGGCTGTACAGTGCGCGCTCCTCCAGCACTGCGGATGGAAAGGCTGCCCACACTTGATCGCCGTGACAGATTGCGCTCATGGCGACGTTCGTGGGTCGCGTATCCATCCTCTTCGTCGGGAAGGCGTAGCTCTCCGAAACGGACGCGAGGAGCGACCTTTTCTTCCTGATCCATGTGTGAACCTGTGGAAAACACAGATCGATACCGCGGGAAGTAGGACCGGGGAGTGTGCAAAAAAGATGCGAATGAGCTGAGAAGAACGGAGAGAGGTAGCACAAGATTTAGTGATGCATGAAGCGCGACTTATACCCCGAGAAAGGCGAAAGTTATCTGCCGTCTTTACGAGCAGCGTGCCTTCGAAAGCTCTAGCAGCGCGTCAAACACGTGCTTGGGCGGCCTTGGTAGGATTTCTATACCGTAAAAGCTCCATCATAATCTCAGCTACGTAGAATGACACCAAGAGTGTGGTACAAGGTCCTCCTCGTCTTTGTCATAGTCAACTTGAAGCGATTCGACGCACAAATACCTCATACAATCCAAGATGGGGCCAGGGTCCTGCAACAGGTAAACCGTAAGCGTCGGAGGTATCCCGTCGGACCTTTTCCTATGCGCCCAAGAATTGCCATTGGCGACTGCGTTTGTCTGAGCTGTTGACGGTTAGCCATGAGCGATTTTCGAAGAACTACACAGCCACGCTACGACACGCGAAATCAAGCTTCTGCGAGCTCAGCCTATAGTGATGCGCGATTTTCGACCTCACATCCTACCATGGATCTGGTCATCGCGTGCAAAAGAGATGAACATGGCTTGACTGGCGTTGCAACAATGCCTCGGTGGTCAGCAGCTGCCTGTTGAAGCATCCCGGGTTCATGGACGATCTCAGACCCTGCCGGCAGTTTGATGGTCTACGACGGGGTAGCACCGGGTCGCATCAGATGTTACTTGCATGAGCATCTGGTGTGTGCCCTGGCAGATTCTGGTAACAGCGTTGAGAAAGAGCCGCTACATGCATGCCATCCATGCGCGTGCCACTGCGATATTCGGGCCTGTATGGTGGGGTGTGCGTGCAGAACATCAACTGGACCTGCGGCAGGCGGCGCGTGAAGGTGATTGTTAACAACGAGATGCCCCTCGACACATGTGCAGCATATGAGCTCCGTTGGGGTGGCAAGGTGGTGATGATGGCCGCTCAGCGAAAGGGGCAGCTTCCAAAGTTGTGTCTGTGCGCGATGAAGCTTCCCAAGCCAAGAGATGCCCAGCACGCGAAGCTGACCGCGTCGTATTCCATCCTTTTCGCCATGAACACCCACGATAGCGATGGACTGCCACAGCAGCCTCCAACTACTTCAGCAGCACACGCATCCGACACTGGAGAAGCAGACTATGCCATTGCCGCATGGCGCCGATATGCTCACCTATACGCCCCCGTGATTGCTAGCCCTTTCGCTGTTCTCTTGTCACCAGTCATCGCTCAGGCCACTGGCTTTACGACCGGCGGGAACAGTCTGCCACTTGTAGTGTCTTTCGCCATACCGACGTACCTCGTAGCATCCTCCTTCTATCCGTCGAACCGACCCGAACCTACTCTGAAGCAATCCATCCGATTCACACGCAAGAACGACCTCTACCGCGCAGGCGTCATCGCAACCTACGGTCGGCTATTCGGTACACCACCAAACGTCATACAATACTTAGTAGACATACTTGGCAGCTATGGCGCCGACCAATTGATTGGGGAACGTCCAGTGGGTACAAGACAAAGGCGTTCGGAATTTCTGGTCGCCCTGACGTGGATACTTGGTAGTTGGCTCGTCCGCTTCTTCGTATCCTTCGATACACCCATGTTGCAACAAGTCGTTCTTCTTGCCGATCGTATTCTCAATCTTACGGCATATGTTGCGTTGGTTGACGATGTGGTCGGTGTGTTGACGCGACCGAATCTTCGCACCAAGAAAGGAAAAGCCACCCTCATCGCGACCCAGGCGTTCACGATCTCGGCGTGCGTGTTTCTGTTCATGAGATGGGCAAAGGGGTTAGCTGAAGGGGAAGTCAGCCCCTACCCCGTATCAGCAACAGAGCTGTAACAATGGCTGCATCTCTAAGCTTTGTTAGCTTGGGACCTTTGACATAGATGTTACACCCAAAAAGCATTGCACGGTGCGCGAGGAGCGCGATCCTGATGAGCACAAACATCACATCTTCTGACCCAATCTAGTGCGAAGTTAGGTAAGAGAAGTCTACTTCGGTACTATTTAAAACGAACACCAATATATCATGTATTTTGCTCATACGCTGCATCTCGTCTTCTGCTCGACGTACCACCACTAAGCTACTCATCGCTTAGCCCAATGTATATGAACGTCCTCAGGCTTATTGATCTGCAGCGTCAACACCGGCTGACTGTCTTGTAACAAATGGAGCAAGCGCTGTCTCGCCAATTCTGTACTTTCCCCTTCACGGACAACTGGTAGCGCACTACATCTACGAAACAGCGTCGCAATAACCGCTACAAATTCTACCTGCGACATCTTCTGCCCAGGGCATACACGCGGACCGACAGACCACGGCATAAAGGTTCCTTGCGCAGGTGTGATGAGCGTGGGCTCTGGTGTGTCGGGTTGTAGCCAGCGTGCGGGGTTGAAGGACAGGGCATCAGAACCCCATGTTGAGCGTGAAGTATGCAATGCCGTTGTGTTGACGTAGATGGTGGATGGAGCCGCGATCTGGAACGACGTGTCTGCGAAGGCAAGGTTCTGACTCGTGGTTATGGATCGCATGAGGAGAGTTACGGGCGGGTAGAGGCGCAGGGTCTCGAGCTATATTGTGAAAGCGTCAGCACCGAGCTAACGGAGTAGAGGCTAGGGAGCTAGCCGTCCTTGAAGGATGCCGTTCAAGGATGGCAGTATGTCGATATTGGGGAGCTTACCATAACAGCTAAACAGCGAACAAGTTTCGGGAATGCACTTGCATAGTCTATTGGCGACATGTCAGGTTCTCCAAGCACAGTATCGATCTCGGTCTGGATCCAGGCTTGCCACTCCGGATACACTGCGAGCAGCGCGACGGCGTAGGACATTGTGTTTGCGGTTGTGTCAAAGCCAGCAGCGGTGAAGATGAAGAGGTTTCCTGCGATTTCTTCCTCGGTGAGAAACTTCTTGGTAACCTTGTCCACCGACTCTGGCGTTGACGCGTCTGTCCGTATCTTCTCCTGGTCTGAGAGGCGGACAAGTTCTTCCATGATGGTGCTTCGACTGTTATTTGGACTCTCGGTCGTCTGCGTAGCATGCGGCGATGTAGAAACACTGTTCTGGCGCTCCTGATTGAGCATGTGTTGTGTTAACCCTGGCAATCGCTTCAGTGCTGTACCTAATCGCTGTGATACCTGCGGCATGAAGGGCAAGCCCAGAAAGCTGGCAGGAAGAAATGCAGCGTAGATGAGCTTGTCGGTGACTAAAGAAATAGCATCAACGTATGAGATGTCTGCGGATGGTTTGGTCGCCGGCTGAGATAAAGCGAATGGCTTGTCATGCCCATACGCAATACGACCGAGGACGTTCATCGCGATCGTGCGAAGACCAAGAACTATCTGGGCGGGCCCTTTGGCAGCATCAGGTGGGGAGACTGAGGGTAAGAGGTCTGCCATGGAAGATGCTTGTTCTACGCTCACTCTCCACACTTCTGGGCTAATGCGTTCGTTCAGAGCCGGGGCGACAATACGGCGCTGGCGGGACCAGGACTCATCTTTAGCCTTATACCGATGCGTTAGTCACGATAAACAGCGTAAGCAATCCACTTACAGTTACAATGTTTGGACCCAAAAACCCCATGGTCTCGGTGGTAATGTCTGGATGAACAAAGTCTCTCCTTCTAGACATGATGGTATGGGCCATGGACGGGTCCGCACAAACAAGCCGGTTGAGTCCTGTAGTAACAACGACAAAAACGGGTCCCAGCTTCTCGTGGATCGCTGCTTTCTCCCGGAATTCCCAGCCCCAGATACTAAGTTCCACGGTAGCGAAGATAGATTTGGGAAGAATAGAGCGAAGAATGGGGCGCATAGGGACACAGAATATGGACCAGAACGCCTAAGAGTATGATCAGTTTCGAATAGCTAGGTCTGAAGAGACGGGCAAGGGTGTGCAGGTTGCTTCAACCACATATTGCGAGAGGAGGAGCGGTAACTTACGCTATCAGGGTCATAAGGGCATAATATGATGGGTAATCCAGTCGCGCGCGCTGCTTGATAGTTGTTGGCGAGATACCATAGCTGGGAAGCAATGAATAGCGACGCTATTGTCACCACCCCAGTAATGAGATATGCCATGAGTTTGAAGATGCGTCGGGTGCAGTTTTTGATGTCGACCGTTGTCCTATTATGTTAGAAACATATCTAACAACTATATATCCGGGTAGACTTAATTGTTTCTGGAGAAATTGTACCGGAAGCATGGTTTCCGGGTCGTACGTTGTACTAGTGCCGGTCTTACTACTTTGTCTACCCACACCCCCGAGGCCCACCAGGGCGAGATGAGATGCCAGCGCAGCGCATCGCTGGCTTATCATACTGTTGGGGCAGATTTTCACGAGCGATAGATTGTAGGTCGCGGAAAAATGGCACGAAACAGGAGAGCCGTCCGCAGTTGTCTCATTCACCAAGGCCGACGCAGCTTTCCGCGCACTATCATCATCTTGGTACAACAATGAGGCCTTTCTGGATTTTGGACAAACTTTCCGCAACGTATGGCCGAGTAGCAATCTTGCAATCTTGGCGCACATTTCTTTGTCTAGGTCGATGATCTTCGCAAGGTTGTCACTGCCTCTTTCATGTGTGGCCTTGAAACATCGACTTCACGGTCGTCAGACGGCATGCAGGTGTATTATGTGGGCACTACCTTACCTAGGTAGGTACCCGGATGATTCAGGCAATGTCTCAGTCTCACCTCTCGTCCGCCAAAGAACAAGCAAGTTTCGGATATCGCGGCGCAGAAAGCTCTGTACGAAGCGAACACGTTGTCCGGCTGATAGTGTGCACGCGGCATCTGAACGATGGCTTACGGTGTTTCGAAATGTCCGAATGTCCAGAGACGCACGGCCCCACCAGCAGAACACCGGCTCCTTGTGCAACCGCGGTCCCGGGCGTCGAAACCGTCAGCAACATCGACCGCGAACGCCTAGTCAGCGCGAAACGCACAAGAGTGGCGGCACATTGCGAAGAAGATGGCAGTGGCAACGCGCGCCTGTTGCGCAATTCGGGCGGTCCGGGCAACCTTGGAAAGGGAAGACCATACCGCCAAAACATACATGCACTGCGAGGCTGCACGGCGAGGGCGAGGTTGAATTACAGGGTCCAATGACTGCTAACACCGCTGACTACGAGACTGTTGCTAGCTTACAGTCTCCGATCGATGTACTCAACAACTAGCTTCAGTAGTTGTGCAACTCTTTGCCGCTATCTACAGATTTGCCCCTAGAGCATTTCACAAGTCCTCCCTTCGTCGCTCGTGCTCGCTCCTGGACTCACTATGCCACGCTGATCACAGCCTCAGCTTCTTCAGTACAGTCGGTTCCATGCTCAGTGCTCTCTTCTTCTTCCTCCATGACCTTGTCGTCCTTGCAGGCCTTCCTCCAGCGCTGTTCAGCTTTCTGCAAGCCCTGAGTAATCAGCACCGAAGGACACTCCTCGGTAGACCAATCCTCGGATACGATGTGAACAATCTTCGCTGGCGCCTCATCGGGCATGTTGATGAGGGTTTGAAGCCATTTCTGCACCTTGCGGTTTTCGGGGATGAAGACCTTGAGTCCGGCCGCTGACTTCCCATCTTCTCCGTTCTCAGCAGGAATTGCGGATGCCGCCCAAGGTAGCTTGCGCCATCCTGGCCACACCTCTGGTTGTATGAACAGATTGACAGACTCATCGACCTGCATATACTCCCTAAGAGCGTTTATGTACACCATGTCGACGTTGATGACGAGTTTCTGGAGAGAGGGCATCGCAATCAGAGTGTTGATTATGCGCTGGAAGTGCCATGGCTTCTGTCCACCGCGTGCGTCGGTTTCTGGATAATAAATCTCCATGTCAACGTTGACTTTGCGCATAAGATTCAATGGACAAGGGCCGTATCGAGGGGTACCATCGCATGCTTCTGAACGGCTCATGAGCTCCAGGAACCGATGCGCAAGCTGTTCGCCACCTATGAGATGTCCTTCTATAGCGGTCTCTGGGTAGGAATCGTTGTCCTTGATCTCGAAGTAGTTTTCGCTGTAGAAAATGGGCTTCGCAATTTCGTGCATGACTTTGTCGACTGCTAGCAGCGCTAGCATGGTTACAGGAGGTTCCATTGTCCAGTAGTAATGAGGCTGAGCGTTTTTGGTGTTGGAAGGAAGCATGAGCTTCGGCATCTTCAAAAGTGATGAGAATTTGTATACAGTCAGGCCCATGGCTTCGGAGTGGCTTAATTCCCGAAGCCAATGGTCAGGGCGCCAGTCTTCATGAGGGACGATAGTGGCTTGAATCCTGACTTTGGTGGAAAACAATAGCACCAGTCGGACGATCTTTTTCTTGATCTCTGCCGGGAGCGTGCTGAAGAAGTCGGGTGCGGCATGTTGATAAGGTCCTGTGTTCAAGTTCGCGTTGGGGTGCATGATCTGTGTGTCGTAGAATTCGGCGAAGACGTCGTTCTCCATGCCTGGGGGTAGTGTGTAGACGATCTGCTCCGGTCCAGTTCCCGCACATTGGTATTTGTTCATTTCATTGCTGGCTTGTTCAGCCCAATCATCCCAGGGTTTGCCGTAATCGTAGTCGTAGCGCACCTCGCCCTCCGGATCTTTCTCCTCCTCGGTCATCTCAGCGCCAACTCCACTTGCCCAGGCTGACCAGAGTGTGTCGTCCTCCATATTGGCTGAAATGCTTGGCTCTGTTCGGAGCTGATTATGGCTCTCGGGCGGGAACTTGACTTCGTATCGGGAATTCTCTTCAAGCATGTAAGCTTCCATTGCAGCGATCAGCTGTTTGGAGTAAGCCTCCATTGCTTCTTGAGTTCGGAAATAACCTCGCTGAAAGTGGAGCAGCTCGGTAGCACGTTGGAACATCTCCGCTTTGGTCGCCTTCCGAGACTTAAGTAGCAAGAGTGTAAGAGTGATCATTTCAGTGGCCGTGATCTTCATTCCCTTACCCCTGTGAGAATACATGTCGTGAAGAAAGGCACCCAGTCGTGACTCCGGTTTCAGCGCTTCTGCACGGAAGTCACCCTCGTGTGGCGCACCCGGGAGGAAATGGTCGAACTTCTCGGCGTTAAAGTGCTGTTGGACCAACAGGTCTTGACGCGACGCCAATCTGGAAGGTTCCTCGGCCATGGTGCTGCGGAGGAGGTGTGTGATGGTGGCTGCTGCGGGCGTACGTGTTGCAACTGGCTGGGTGTTAGTGTCGCATCTCAAATGAGCGAATGTCTGCCGTACGGTGTCTTCTTGTTGATCTCAGGGCTAGCCGCTAGATACCAGAGTATCTCCAACGCAGCTGTTCGTGCGATACTGATCGTATACCCCGCTAATCGCAGAGCTACGCGGTAAATGCACGAAGTGCTCGCAGACAGGCGTGGTTACCAAATGGGCTATCCTGCGTACGTTCAAAGGCGTGAAGGTAATCGCCGTCGTCTGTTTGAGAAGCGAGTCCAATCTTGCGGTGACCTGCCCAGAATATGAGTCTGAAAAGTCGATGTCGCGTGGCCAGGCAAAGTCTGCGCACGTCCTCTACCTAGCCACTAAAGTAAGCCCTCACTCGTCGAGGCACGCGGCGTACCCCTGTTCCGAAGATCGGCTTGCTTCTCCCTGCAACGACAGTGAAGAACGACGTCTACTGGGCATATAATTTCCCGTTTGGGAGTACGGAGGCGTTCAAGGTCCTGGTGGCCTTAGCAACTTCCCTCGACGTGCCGTCCCGGGATGATCGCAAGGACTTGTACGAACCTAACGCGGTTAGGCATCTCCATGAGCTGCCCGGTATTAATCGAACATGTCGGACCACTCATGAGACAGTTTCGCAAACTGCATCCCCATCTCATAGTGGGCTTTGATTTCACTCTTTCGGTAAGAGCAACTCCCGAGGTCCCCTTCTAGACTCTGTAGCAACCATCGATAATGATGGCACATTTTCCTTTCGTGTGCCAATCGTTTCCATTATGTCTTTATCATCTGTGTGCGGTGTATGTGACATGTAAAGGACGACGTGAGATGCGCAGTTCGACGTACAAAAGTTCCCAGACCAGAATACCCGTATACGTAGAATGATGAGTGCAGCAGGTCACGGTACATCTGTACTTTGACATGGGCCTATCGACGGTCAGCTCGGGCGTCAGTCTCCTCTGATATCGGTTCTGGGAAGCAGATGAAAGATCATCTACACATAGACAAACATTCCATCATTCCGTGATCGCTGAACCCGATCTCGGTGAGCCGTGACTCACCAGTCGCATCTCAGGGTCTTCTTTATGGAGGCGACTTTTTGGCCTTCATGTAACGCGTCACCGAAAAGTGAAAACGCACGTGTCTGATACGCTCATGCACTGAACGTGTTTTCGGCTTGCGACCCCACTCCACTACCACCTCTTCGAGACACCTATATCTGAAGATTTATATATTGAACAGACTCCGACTCGGGTAGGTCGACATCAGCCAACGCTTCTCGTGCGACGTTTGACTTATCGACATCTTCTAGTCACTTTCCATTCAACCATGTACGGCCCAGGACGCCTGCACCTGGGCAAGGCGGCGGTCGGCACGCACTTGCTGCCACTGCTGCTGCTCCTCGCTGCAACATGTCTTCTCCCTACTTGCCACGATCTCTACCCGGTTTCGCAGCGAGGCCCGGCGTCGTTTGCGGACGAAGCTGCGATCTTCAACTCTGCAGCCACGGTATGCAATCCTCCGCGACAGACGTGAACGTCGCAACTCACAAGTCGTAGATTATCGCGATGGCGCCAGTGCCTTCAGGATTCCATCCAGTAGGTACTACTGTGATCGCATCCACAGCTTCCACGTCTCTCACTGAGTCGGTCCAGGTCGG